GGGCGGCGGGGGAGAAGGCGAGGCGGACGTAGGCGGAGGAGCGGGCGAGGGCGGAGGGGGGCGGAGGAGAGGGCGAGACCGACGGCGGCGGCGGCAACGGTGAAGCAGAGGGCGGCGGAGGAGATGGTGAGGCGGAGGGGGGCGGCGGGGAGGGCGAGGTGGAGGGCGGCGGAGGAGAGGGCGAGACAGAGGGTGGCGGGGGAGAGGTCGGTGGAGAGGAGGGCGGCGGGGGTGCTGAGGCTGCGGAGGCTGCAGGCCGCGATGCGAGCAGCAACAGCAAGAGGGCGAACCGGTTTCCGACGCCGCGGCTCCTGGGACGCGGCGACGAGGCTGTCCGCGAGGAGAGCTGCCGGGCCGAAGGAGTGCGGGCCTGCGCTGCCCGCTCCTCCTCGGACGCGGAGGTAGCGAGCTGCTGGCCGCCTCGGTCGAGGTACAGCGAGCAGTACGCGTGCAAGGAGGCGCCGGCGGCGGCCTGCCAGAGGTCCTCCGCCGCACCGGAGGCCAAGCAGAGGGGGAGGGCGGCGGTGCGGACGATCGGGGACGGGATGCGGTCGCAGCGGATGAACTCGAGCAGCTCGACGACGCAGCGGAGGCAGGAGGCGATGAGCAGCACAAGCGGCGAGCCGCGCCGCCGCTTCCGCCGATGCAGCTGGGCCGCGCAGCTTTGGCGTCCGGCAAGCCCGGCGGAGGCGACTCCGAGGGCGAAGATACGAAGCATATCGGCCTTACCGTCTGCGTCTAGACAACAGCGGGGGTGAGGGGAGAGACAACAAGGATCCACCTGCCGATTCCGCTTCTGAACGCGGCGGCGCGTCCGTCCTGCTTGGAGTCGACCGAGCTGGTCGTGTGCATCGGCATCAGCGACCGAATCGGCAGGAGGCATTGACGAGTGGGGCGCAGGAGCAGCTTCTGCGTCCGTGCTCGGCATCTTCAATGCCGGCTCCATTTTTGAGAAGGTACATCATCGGGCGCGGCGGGTTTTAGGACCAACACGATTTTTTTCTTTTGAGACGCTGTGAGACGGGGGAGTCCGAGCCTGATACAGACCACATCACTGTTTGTGGTTGTGGTGGTGGGTGGGTGGGTGGTTGGTGGGGGGGGGGGGGGGAATTATAAAAAGGTCCTTTGGGGA